CAGCTAACAACTCATTTTCAGTGGTGGTGTAATTTAGTTGCGCATCATCAAGAGTCTTACTCGCATAGTAGATGGAATAAAACATTTTGTCCTTCCTATGGCCTATCACTGCCCCAATAGCATGGTCACTTGCATCACACATAAGCTCAAATGGTAAGGACTAATCAGTTGCCGCAATAATGGGGGCATCCATCAACTTCTTTTTGAGCTCTTCAAATGCTTTCAGGCAGGCGTCATCAAAATTGAAAGTTACATCTTTTTCAAGCAACATGCACAAAGGAGTAGCAATTTTAGAAAACTCTTTAATAAAGCGCCAATGGAATCCCACGTGTCCCAAGAAACTCCAGACACCCTTCACAGAAATGGGTGGAGGTAATTTTTCAATCACCTCCACCTTCACTCTATCAACTTCAATGCCGCTCCTAGACACTCTGTGACCCAATACGATGCCTTCCTGCACCATAAAATGACACTTTTCCCAATTCAATACCAGATTTTGTTTGTTCACAATGGGCCAACACCTTACTCAAATTCTTCAAACAATCATCATAAGAAGACCCAAAGACTGAAAAATCATCCATAAAAACTTCTACAAATTTTCCACCATATCAGTAAAATAGCCATTATGCATCTCTAGAAAGTGGTTGGTGCATTACGAAGACCAAACGACATTCGCTTGAAGGCGAAAGTACCATAAGGACAAGTAAAAGTGGTCTTCTCCTGATCCTCTGGGCATATGATAATCTAATTGTATCCCGAATAACCATCAAGAAAGCAATAATATGCATGCCCTACTAATCTGTCCAACATTTGGTCAATGAATGGAAGTGGGAAGTGGTCCTTGAGGGTTGCTTTGTTGAGCTTTCTGTAATCAATGCAAACTCTCCACCCCGTCACAGTGCGAGTAGGTATAGCTCATTTTTTTCATTCTCAACCACAGTCATCCCTCCCTTTTTAGGTACACATTGCACTGGGCTTACCCAGTTGCTGTCAGAGATAGGAAAGATGATACCTACATCGAGTCACTTAATTACTTCCTTCTTTATGACTTCTTTCATGATAGGATTCAATCTCCTTTGCTGCTCAACACTGGGGGGTGTCCATCTTCCAGAAAACGTTTATGCATGCAAAATGATGGACTGATTCCTTTGATGTCAGCAATTGTCCACCCTATAGCCTTTTTATGTTTGCGAAGTACTCTGAGTAATTTTTCTTCTTGTACATTAGTCAGGCTGGACGAGATAACTACTGGCAATGTTTTTGAGTTCCCCAAATAAGCATAGCGCAGATGTGCTGGAAGAGGCTTTAATTCTAGCTTTGGAGCTTCCTCAATAGATGGCTTAGGAAAGGTCAGAGTAACATGCCTGCCCAACTCCTCAAACTTCCTAAAACCATGGACATAGTAGCATGACGTGTCAAGTACTCGCTCAATTTTGCCCATTATATTATCTTCCGTGTATTCTTCATTCCCAATCAAAGCTTGTTCAAGAGGATCTATGGGGCTCATATAAGGCACCAATGATGTAGCATTGCTTTCCACTGCAGAAATCATGGATAGCTCTTCATAGTGGGTTGGCAATCTGAGTGCTTTGTACACATTAAATACCTCCACTTGATCACCTACTCTCATCGTCATCTTTCCTTCGCATACATCAATAATATCTCGGCCCGTGGCTAAGAATGGACGCCCCAAAATAAACGGGACTTCCTGATCAGGCTCGTAGTCCAAGATAATGAAATCAGTAGGAAATATGAAAGAACCCACTTGAACTAACACATCTTCAATTACTCCTTCCGGATGAGCAGGGGATCGATCAGCCAACTGTAAGATTACCGTTGTTGGGCGCGGATCACCCAAACCCAACTGTCTGAACACAGAGAGCGGCATAAGATTGATGCTCGCTCCAAGATCACACAAAGCTCGCCCGACTGCATGCTTACCAATCGAGATTTGGATAGTGAAACTACCTGGATCCTTCAATTTCTGAGGTAGCTTGCTTTGGATTCTCGAGCTACATTCCTCAGTGAGCGCCACAGTCTCGAATTCAGTCAGCCTCCTTTTATTTGCCACTATGTCCTTGATGTATTTTGCATATTTGGGCACTTCTTGCAAGATGTCTACCAATGGAATATTTATTTGCACCTGCTTTAAAATATCAAGAAACTTTTTATACGCGGCATTATCCTTTACTTTCTACAATCTTTGAGGGAACGGAGGTGGTGGCCTCGTAACTAATGGTGGGGGTTGCTCAGCCACCGCCTCTTCAGTTGGCTTCTCTGATTCCTTTGATTTTCTGATTTTGATTCTATAGTGGCTGGTCTCTCATTAAAAGTCACATGTTTTCTCTTTTTCGACTCTACTTCTTCTAATTGTCTCACATTCCTCAATGACGCGGCATTAATGGATGCCTTAGGATTAGCTTCAGTGTCACTTGGAAGAGCTCCAACTGGTCGAGTATTTTGGGCACTGGCAAGTTGTCCCATTTGGCGCTCCAAATTTCTCATTATTTCGGCTTGGGACTGCTGGTCAGCCATCAATTTCTTCATCATTTTCTCAATGTGACTTGTTAGGTTTGCATGTTGTTCAGCCTGAGGTGGCCTATATTATTGTTGAGGTGCTTATGGTCGGTATTGATTTTGAGCACCTTGATTTCCGCCCCAAGAAAGGTTTAGGTGGTTCCTCCAGTTGGGATTGTAAGTGTCCCATACTGATTTGTCTGGCCCCTATTTGCATTACCCACAAAGCAGACAGACTCTGGATTAACTGGGCATTAATCGCTCGTATGACCCTCTCCACCTACTTCACAAAATAATTGAACATGTTGCACTAGTTGAGCTTGTTGCTTGTTAATAACCAAGGTCATCTGATTGACTTGGTTGTTTAGTGTAGAAATCTGCGCTGATAATGCCGAGATGACATCTAACTCAAGAACCCCTGCAGATTTTTGCACCGTGTGTCTGCTCGTTTCTCCTTGCCAATCCGGATTGCTTTTGGAGAATTTGTTCAATAATGCATATATCTCGTCAAAGCTTTTCTCCAACACTTGACCTCCAGCTTTAGCATCTACCACAATTTTCGTTTCAGGATGTAGCCCTTCTATGAAAGTGTGAGCTAACACTTCGTTTATCTGATTGTGATGAGGACAGTCTCTAAGTAGCCCCTTGAACCTCTCCCAAGCTGAGTATAAAGACTCCCCCGATTTTTGTTTGAAGGCGACTATCTCACTTCTGATCTTTGCAGTTTTGCCTGAAGGGAAGAACCTTGCCAAAAATTTTCTTGCTAGATCATTCCATGATTTAATAGAATTAGCCAGTTCTGCCTTCAACCATCGCTTTGCTTCCCCCAACAGAGAGAATGGGAAAAGTGTGAGCCTCACGAAGTCTGGAGTGACTCCGTTAGTGATATAAGTATCACTAATCTCCAAGAAATTCAAGATATGTTGTTGTGGATCCTCGTGTGGAAGACCCATAAACTGCCCATTCGCATGAAATAGCTGGATCGTGCTCTATTTTAGCTCAAAGTGCCTAGTGATCTTAGGCTTCACAATGCTGGAAGTGACATTAGCAATGCTGGGCATTGTCACCTCCTGAACAACCATATGTTGCTCCTCTGCCATGTTCACAGGAAATTGAACAAGTGCCTAAAGATTATTTGTATCCTTTGCTTCCCTCAACCTTTTATGAAATGTTCTCTCAGGTTCGGGGGTCAAAGCCTTGAAGTCTGTCCTGGCTTCTGACCCTGCGCATTCAATTAAAGTTCCTGAGATCAGAGCAACAATCAAGTGATATTAAACTCGATGAAATAAACAATGAAAGCAAAAACTAGAAAATAGTCAATATTCAAGTCCCCGGCAACGGCGCCAAAAACTTGTCGCTCCCAAACGCACACGCAAATATACGTGGTCGTACAAGTAATAAAATGATAAGTCGAGTGTCGAACCCACAAAGACTTATATCAACTACCCACTAAATTCACCAAGATTGTTATTCAGTCAAGCCAAATTCGAGTTCAAGAATATGATTATACTAAACTATAATTCTAAGTAGTAACTAAATTATCAAGTAGTAAAATAATTGTGGTTTATTCAGTAGAGACAAATATTCCAGGGTTGTGATCGATTCACCAATTTTATTGTGTTCTAGTTAACTCTCCCTTTCATACAATTCAATCTTGGTTGCTAATTAATCGATAATTGCTCTCATAGCCTTCTCCCGAAATACTACTCGCCTATTCAAAATAGATTAATGCCNAGTCAACATTAAACAACAATATTCATGGCTAAATCACAACCCCAGAACTATGGGTTTTAGCCACCCATGATAATAGCAAACAACTTGATAAATGTTGGATAATTGAAAATACTAAGAAAAGATGAAGAAAACTGAGATCTCTTCGCTCCCGAATGTTACTCGTGTGTCTTTTCCCTTCAAAGTGGTGTCTCCCTCTAAAAATAAGCTTAGTCTTGTTTTTATACGTGTTGGGTAGGTTTAGGGCCGAAACAACCTTGTCCCGGGCAAAGTTGGATAGAAATCCCGTCACTAGCGTCCAGCCCAGCGCTAGGCGCCGTCCCTGGCGCTGGTAAATTTCACATTCTGTCTGGGGTGCCACATGTAGCGTGGGGCACTGCCTGTGGCGCTGGAAATGCCCCTTTCCCTTTTTTCGTCTATTTTGCCTCTAATTTCGCACCTTTCGCCCTCAATTACTCCCGGATCATTCCTACACATAAAAACACCTCGAATTAATATAAATCAACACATTACATCTTAAATTCACTAAATAAAAGTAAAACATGAGGCGATATACATAAAAAAATATATAAATATACTTTAAGCTAAACATCAGGCATATGAAAATCACTGATATAGTGATTGACCTGTTTGGAAATCTTAAGTTTAGCTTACAAGAAATTTAAAAGGAGAAAAAAAAAAGGTAGCTTCAGATTCTCGTCTTCCTAATCACAATGCAGAGAAAGTAACATGGTTTTAACACAAAAACACACCACTATTACAAATGCACCCTTGTCCACATTGGGAGTGTATGTTGCGAGATTCTTCCCTCCGATATATATTGCTATAGTTGATGCCAATCCTCCAAGAATTTTGTTAGTGGCATCCACAATATACCAAGATTTGTCTGTGTTCACATGGTCTGCAACCTTGGGATACCATGTTTCATTCCAAATATCCTCGAGGCAGCAAAAAGAATAAATTATTTGCAATACCTTAATTATGCAATTACATGTAAATGCATTCTTAGTCTTGCTTCAGCAACTCAAGGAGATTCCTTAGATAAAAAAAATCATTTATGCGTACTCCTTAGAATTTTCATTCTTTTAGAATTTTCTGATTTTCTGAAAGATTTATGATAGATTTCTCACCAACTTCTTCTTCTTCTTGGATTTCATTATCGTCTAGCTCAATTTTGTTAGTGATTTGTTCATCTATCATAAATTCTTCTATATTTTCTGATTTAAAATTTTTATAGTTCGCTAAAAGTTTATCAATAAATCCTTTTTTGGAAAGTATTAAAGTTTTAACTCTTCCCTTTTTTGGTGTTTTAAATATGCGAATTCATATTGTTTTGTTGATATATATA